TCTTCCTCTTCCTCTTCCTCTTCCTCTTCCTCTTCCTCTTCCTCTTCTCTCTTCTCTTCTCTTTTTTTCCTTGAGCTCAACTCTCAGCCGCGGCATGGGTTGTTTGCCCAATCATGAGTGGGGGGTCTCATGCCCTGCGCAGAACCACCTCCAGGATGCTGGCGGATGCTCTCCAGGGTGCCAGCATATCTGGCACCCCAAGAGTGCTAAAGACAGATATTTTAAATATATCTGCCTTCAGACCCGCAGCCTAGACATCCTGAACACTTATCAGGACTCTGAACTGGCCGGCCAAAACCGTAGTGGCAGATGTCCACTGGCTGACAACTCACTCATCATCGCGATGAGGAACTGGGTGGACCAAAGCTCAAGGTCCTCTGGCCCTTCGCACCCAAGTTATCGCCACCCAGTGCTGTCGCTTGCCACCTGGAATTCGGGTGTGCTTCTGACATTTGGAGCACTGAATGAACTTCCCACGACGAACCAGGGTATGAGATGGATGCAACCTTGCTTTGATGTTCAATGCCCCTTGCTGCATCTGCGAGGCAACTTGATCCAGCATTTCCGACGGCCAGAGGAATTCTCCTTCAACTGCCAGATGTGGCCAGGCTGGTTCAACACATGGCCCGGACACCTTTCATCGTCCTTAGCCTGCATCTCAGCTTCTCAGCCAAAGTGGCAGAGCTCTTGATACGTCAGTGGCAGGTGGCACATCGAACCCCTTTGGCAAAGGGTCCCAATTGTCCCAAGATGGTGGAAATACTCCGGGACCTCGCCCCTGGCTCTGGCGCTTGCCCAACGCTGCCTGGAGCCTGGAGTAGGCTCTCTCTCTCTCTCTCTCGCTCCCTCCCCCTCCCTTCCCTTTTCGTAAGTATTTATTTTCCCTCTTTAGGCCGGGCAAGTGTCAAAAACTGAGGGAATATTACGAATTGAACAACTGTGATATTGCTTGAAGGAGGAAGTGTTATGTGGGTTGGACAGATCAGATGGATCGTCGAAAAGCAAGTGAGCATAGTTAGCAAGCCGAAAGCATTCCATGCCCCGGTTCTGTTGTTGCCTGCAGAGCGTAAAAGCATTAAAGATCCTGTGCTTTAGCTTCTGGCCTCAAAAAGCCTCCCATGACAAGCCTGCCACAAGTATCAACGAGCATCCAACCGCAGGGAACAACCAAATGGTCTGTACCCATTGCAATTTGAATCATTTTGTTCCGCAAGTGTTTCCGATAGGCTTTTGTTGCAGACATGATGGCAAGAACGAAGATGTATGACAGCAGATTCTTCCAATTTTGTGTTCTATACAACTGAAATGCGACGTGTCGATCTTTGATGTAGTTACGCCACCTTCACACGGACCTTTGCCGTTGTTGTGCATCTCCCGACGGCGCCAAAGGCACCAGGGCCAGGAGAAGTCGATGGCCTTCCTGATGAGACCCTACCAATCAGAAAGGCGCTGGAGGGTGGACAAAAACTTGACAGGTGTTGTGAGGACCTGTTTGCAGTTGCAGGTCCATGCGTGAAATTTGAAGCCCAGTCTTTCATGGAAGAAGTGTTGACTTGTTACGATCTCGGGCCGTCCGCGCGCGTTTGAGGCCCCCGACGGCCTTGCGAGCAGTGGCTCGGAGTGAATGGAACGTATCAGTGGTGCACACTGGAACTGTCAATTTCGAGAGTCATTTGTGTTTTTGATGTAGGTACGATGTTCTGGACCAGTGGGATAGGTTTCTGTTTCAAACCAAAGTAACTCAGTACACTTTGGATATTCTGATGTTTCATTCAAAAGAAGGTGTTGTTTCTTTCCACCTTTCAACAACGTCGAGTGGGCTCTGAGAGGTAGGTCCGGTCTTACACCAAGTGTCCTGCGATCGACCTAGTGGTCCCAGGGTCCCAAACAAACGGCCAAACATGACCGAAGCAAAGTCATGCAAGGTCAGGGCAAGGTTTGGCTCCAGGTTTGGCTCAATTCTCCAGGAGGATCTCCGTTTAGATGTGTCTGTGTCACGCCATGTCTTTTTCCCAAGAGTATTTTGTGAACAACTTCACAAATTCAATCATGGCAAAGGATGCAGGCATCCATGTTCGGATTCCATGAATATAGCTGGCTTCTGAAAAAGGTGGAAGGGCCATGTCGCAGGCAACTGTCACCAAGTTTTGCCCAGCGCATTCGCCCAAAAGTGCAATGACATCAGTAGGGGTACAGAAAGCAGGAAGGCAACGTGGGAGCACATGTCTAGTCTCATGAAAAGGGCCAGAAAGAAGACAAACCAACCATGATTAACCGATTCTATGGAACTTATGCCAAAGGAAAACCAGCAACATGTCCAAGATGAAACAGCACCAAACAAAGATCAGGGCAACCGAGTTTGTAGAGAGCCTGTTGTTCTTATATTCTTTTCCGGTTGTCCTTTTTGTTTTTTGTTTAAGAACTTTGTAGAAAACGTACTTTGTTCAATTTGTTGTGATGTTTTTGGTAACAGTTTTCGTTGAATTTGGAGATTACACATTAGTTAATGTACTCAGAGTTGTTGAACATCTAGAAAACTCGATTTTTTTTTGGGGGGCTTCTGGCTTCTGGTCATTGACGTGCAAACCAGCACCAACCAGACGTGATTCAGATGTTTTGCTTTGCTGATGGGGGTCGCCCAGGTGGCCATACGATTCCTGTGGCGGAGGCCGACAGGGGCCGTCCGCCCTTTGGTACCTGAACATCTAAACAAATCAGACCATATTTTTCAATTACCTTGCTTCGGATTTCTTGGGCTACTCAACTGAGTTTGATCACAGTTGATACCCCTGTGCCTGTGCTGGTGTCAGGTCTCATCTCCAGATCCTGCAACTCAGCAAGCAATTGCTTTACTCGACACACAAAGCTCCGAGGAAATCCTTGGAGGGCACCTGGGGTCAAACTCTCGGGGTGACACCGCAGGGTTCCACATTCTACTAGAACGAACGTCCAACATCATGTATGTAGTGGAAACAGTGCTTTTTGTCGTTGTTGGGTGTCAGCTCACACCTGCAGCACTCCTCTATAGTCTGACTGAAATGGTCTTCATGGTGCCGTGCCCGTCGCAGAACAGAGAATCCAATGAGACAAGCATACGACACCTTTTTCACAAAGTGGGGATCACCTTAAAAGCAGCCAGCCGAGTAGCCAAACTCCCCCAGTATTGTTCATGTTCATTTGTTCATGTCATGTACCGTACTATGTTTCGCGGAAGGATGAGGCTTCTTGATGTCCGGAAATTGGCCAGGTACTAGAATGGTAGTAGGGTGGGCAGAAGTGGTGCTGAGGCTGTTGGCTGCCAGTCTGGTGAATTGGCCGACGCACGCCGCAGCATGCAGGCCAACTTCTCCTTTTGATGGCAGATGTGGGTTGAGCTACTGATTGGTTGGCACAAGGTCGTTGTATAGTCCTGCACAAGGTGCAAAACGTCACCCGCCCAAAACATAGCTGTGATTCTACACAAAGCAGGTGCGTCATCGGCTTGTCGCACCATTCCCTTTCAGTCAGGACAGCTGTCCAAGGTTTTGAAAGCAGTTCTTCCAGGATCTTGCTGCATCTTAACTGCAGAGGTGGCCGACCAGACCCACCAGAATGGATCCACGAATGCCCCACATCCATGCACTTTTAGACGACGCAAGAAGTTGGCTTCTCCTCGTGTCTCTGTTGTTTGCAATGGATCTTTCTGCAGACACGGTGTTCCCATCCAAGTTTGCTGCACGTGATCCTGTGTCCACATTGCCAGGAAGAAGGAGTTGAAGGTGAAGGCTTTGAATACGCCGTAGCCAGCTCAACGTAACATCGTCAGTTACAGATGAGTTTGTTGATGCTTATTGGCTGTTGGCGTGGGAATTGCGGTTTTCCATGGACTTCTAAACACGTCGCTTTCACCTTTTCGGCCTTGAACAAGTTTGACCCTTTCTCAAGCCGTGGCAGTTCGATAAGAAGGACTGGCAGAACCATGCAAATAGCTTTGGAACGGCCTTCCAGCTGTTACTGACACATGTATATACACAATATTCGTCCTGGTCTGAGGCTTCAGATCTTGTAGAACAACCTGCAGCCCAGCCAGCAGTTGGCTTGGCTTCTGTCGAATCGGAGCACAGTTGTTGGAGACCATGATCCGCGCGAATGGGTTTTGGGAATGAGGTTAGAGGTCGGCAAGGTGGCTAGTTCTGTTGAACTGAAGACACGATCAGCTGTCAAGCCAATATATGACTGAGAAGGTGGGGCGGGTTGAATTATGATAGTATGGAATGACAGGAAGTACAGAGACATGACAAGTATCAGTAGCACGTACGAAAGGAGGAACCACTACTGCTACTACGGCTAAAAACATCTTTAACTTTTAGATACTTGCCGAGTGCCATCATCTCAACTCAGAGTTACGCCGATTCCTTTTTGCTAGCTTCTGGCTGCTTTAAGATTGTGCTAACATGAGGCAAATCTCATTAATCCCTGTGATATTTGGATTATGTAGAAAAGTGCTTCTTCCAAAGCTGCGTCGTTGCTGAGTTGGCAAACAGTCCCTGGGGTCCTGTGAGACGCAACTGGAGTTTAGGCCAATACACAGATGATAGTTTTTGTTCCTGACCAGACACAGCTTGGAGGAGGCCTGTACCCTTCCAAAAGACCAAATCAGGAAACCCTTGCCCGCTTTTTCGTGGACACCGATGTAAACGATGTTTGTGCCTAGCGCTGGAACGACGGGTTACTATCAGTTACTATGCGCTGCTAATTTAGTGAGATCAATCATCGATGAGCCAAGGTCTTGCACAACGTTGAGGAATTTCCAACAGCGCCCTTTGTGAAGAAGATCGACTTTGACTGGGAAGAGGGACGCAAATACTTAGACATAGAACTGGACGATACTGCCATTTGTTTGGTACGGGATGACATTGTGATGATGAGCAGCAGATCGGTACACCAATCAAACTCGTTGGGATTCGAAGTCCTGGAGGACTATGATGCACCGGCTTTGCCTGCTGGCATGGTGCCTATGGGTCCTTTGTTGAGACTCTGGCCTGAAAATGTGACCTTCTCTGAAGAAGTTCATGTAGTCATGCCCGTGTGTCGTGGTGCGAAGAATGCTTGGTGCACCACTGACAGTGGCTGGAAGCAGGTGCCTGCTCAGATAAGACAGAGCATCATGATCACCTCTTTACACCACTTTTGTAGTATGCAGCCTGCTGGCGAACCGGTGGAAATAAAAGCTTTGGGCTACATCAAACAGCCAAGTGCAAAGATAGTGTTGGCACACATTGATTGTTCCGAATGTGACAGCAAACTGAGCAAGCGTGAGAACGATCCTCATTTTCTTAAGGACTTTACCCAATGCAGAGATCCAGAAGTGCTGGACGAGCGTAAGGATGGTGATAAAGTGGAGCTCTCGCAGCCAGAAGCTTCCCGAGAGACGATCGAGTTGAAATTTAAGCGGTTTCCCTTTGTCTCTAAAAAGCTCTCAGCTCAGTCTGGGAGTTTCAAAGTTCAAGTTGATGACGAACCTTATGAGTTTCAACTGGACAGAGATGCGGACAACGCAGAGGTAGCTCGTCCCAGACAACATGCATCCCCGCAAGCTGCATCAGGATCATCAGAGCACACATCAACAGGTTCAGCAATCCACCGCCCGCCTGAGGTCAGGCTTAAGTGGGAAGAGCCTGTTGTGATTGAGGTGGATCTTTCAGAGCTGCTGACAAAGATGGACCCGGGGTTGTACCAAGTCCTTGCCCAAGAAAGGGGAAGATGGCATCAAGTCTCCGAAGACCTCTTTCTTCACATCTGGACAGATGCCAATATTGCTAGAGCACAGGTTGCACAAAGGTCTTTGTGCTTGGAGCATGTCGAGCAGGTCACGTCCGACCTTGTGCGAAGAATCTGCGTTGACTTGGGCCTGGCCTTCTCTTCTGACATGGCTAAGAAGCTTACCAAGATCGTCCGCTGCAAACAGGCAGGAAGTTTGCAACACCAACAGACTGGGTGAATATGTGTGTGTGGACCACCCAAAGATCCCTGCAAACAAGAACTATAGTAGATGAAAACGGATTGGTTTGGTGGTCCTGCTCTTTTGAGGCAGACTGGTAGTGCTTAAGGATCTTCCAGATTTACTGTATTAATCAAAGACATCCATCGGAAAAAAGTTGCCAAAAAAGCTGTTCTCGCTGTTGGTGTACATGTGCACACAAGTTCTTTTCTGTACAATCACTCAGCCTCTCCCTATCCTGCACTTGTATGTTTTGATATTGAACTTGCACACACACACACAGAGGTCACAGATTTGCGATGGTATGACATCTTTAGACACCGTGCGTTCAGTACGATCGATGCCTGTGCCAAGCGTGGCGCTAGCCAAATTTTACTGGTGGGCGTACAGCCAAAGATGCTGAACTCAATCACTCAAAAAGAGCTCCGCTGTCTTCACAAAGACCTGAAGCGTGCATCTGAGAAGAAGAGCTTTGACTTCTATCACTTGCTTAATGGTCTGAAATGCCCCATTGATAGACTGGAAGAGGAGCTGCAGCAGTGGCTGCGAAAAGATACAAAGCACCAGGTCGTGATCGTATCCTGCTGCGAGGACGATCAAGAAGAAGCCCAACGTATTTGCAAACGCCTCAATGAGGGGCTGGATGTATTGGAATACGTTGATGCGTTGAGTCCAGAGGAAGTCATGTTCAATCTGAGCATCAGTGCCATCAAGAAAGTCCTTACGCAACTTGGCCAGGATGGATTTACGATGCCTGCGGAGAAGTTCGGCCAAGCCATGAGGATGCTTGGGATGAGTGCGACACCGATGAAGGCCAGCAGAAATTGTTTCAATTGGGTTTCGGCCTGCCTGTCATGGTTCTGCCTGATTAAGGTCCGCTTTTAACTCCCGGTATGAAACTGTTCGGATTTATTTGTTGCCCAGTTCGTAGGATCCACATACTATTACCAGTACCTTTGACGCAGGTGTCAACGCCATCAATTGACATCCTTACCCTGCACGATCTTTTGCTCGAAGACCTGAAGAATTCGGCTACAGATCCTTACAATGTGCTCATGAAGTTCTTGAGGCTTTTGGATGGAGATTGCAAGGACACCATGTCTGTTGCGGAGCTGAAGCGTTTCCTCGGAATTGGAGGTATGCGATCAGAGAATGAGCTTGAGGCCACTGTTTCAGCATATCGGCAGGCTGAGATCCCACTTTCAAAGCTCAGAGAAGCGTTATTTGATCCAGAAAGCCAACAAAAGCTGCTGAACGATCAACAAACGACCAGTCGAATTTCTTGGGCAGTGGCTGACCGGAATGCCTTCCAAGTCTTTGATGGGCCTTGGAGTGCCATAAATTCTGGAACAAAGGTGGCGGCCAATTCTGGAGCACAGTCCTCTGCAGGAGAGGATCACAAAGATTCCGTGGCTGTTGGAAGAGAGACTGGCAGAATCTCAGTGCCAATACCCGTGGCTCCTGCAAATGGCAAGCACTTGTTCCTTTCTGGTCGATTCAATGATCCAAAGAGCAAGAGCTACATGAGAGCAGTCAGAGACGAACTTGAACAGTTGGGAGTCCAAACTTACATGGTGGAAGGACAAGGAGCTGGTGGCGACTTTGCCCCAGCTACCATTACAGGCCTCTACCATGCCATCACCATGGTGGCATTTTGCACTCATCACTATGGCCAGAAGACCAACGTGGGCTATGAGACCTTTTTAGAGTTGAAAACAGCACACGAAAGGCACATTCCCATCATTCCAGTTCAATTGTGCGATACCTATCCGCCAGAACCGCCAGACGAAGAGGGTCGACAGCAAAATTGGTTCGTTCTTGGTCCCAGTCGCATCAAAATCAAAGACGTGGGGTCAAACGAACCTGCCAGGGTAGCAAAAGACGTCCAAAGGACTTGGCTGAATTTAACCAGGCGTTGAAAAAGTCCTGCTGTGACAGTGCTCAGGACCAGAGAATAGTAGAACCTGAATTGTATAAGTATGGGATAGTATGGGTAAACATTGCAAGAGCATGACTTTGTATTTTTTTACTTATGTTTGCTCCTTATTTGCTTTTGCGTAGCCGTTCGTGGCTGTTCAAAGTCCACGGATTCCGGGCAGCTGGAGGTGCGAAGAGAGTTGGGAGATCCGTTTTGTCGTTTTCATGCTTGTTCGACCACAGGAAGTCGTGGAGTAGGTTGTTTCTTTTCTGCGAAGGAATACCGAACCAGAAGAGAAGATGCCAAAGCAGGAAGGAGACGTGCAATGTTCTTCTTTGGTTTCTGACCCGTTTGCGAGATGTTGCAAGCGTTTTACATGTGAATCAGGAAGACTGGCTTTCAAACTTTGCACGGGCTATAGAGGTGCAGCGAACTCTACAGGAAGAACATCCTACTATATGGAGCTGTAGGTGCTGTAGCCCTTGAATTGCTATTAGCACGCAAAGTCCTTAGCTGCGAATCAACGCTCCTCCCCGTGGCGAAGATGCCACACGGCTTCCTGTAACTTAGTGAGATGGTCCATGACAGCCGAGTCTGCCGGGGCGGAGGCCCAACCAAACCTAGCGGTAAGGGGATTACGGGGCCTAGAAGGCCTACATTCATGAAAATGCTCGCAATGCCACAACAAGTGGATCCAAGACGGTCTGAACCTGACAGAAGGGGCAAGGCAGGCAAGGCGGGGTCATACAAAGCCCGGGACACAGAGGCCCCAAGAGCAACGTGCCTAAAGGTAGAGTCAGTATCCATACGCGTAAAGCCAACATCGACACGGCGAAAAAGTTGCGTGACCCTCATGTCTTTGACAGCGAAGCGAAAGCATGCCACCGAAACTGCATTCTTTCATGCCTGTCTAAGGCAGAGAGGCTTCAGGCTGTTTAAGGTCAGACCGAAAAAGTTGAACCTCGACACCGCTGTGCACCTCACTGCATCCAATCCCTTTCACTTGCCGCAGCACACCAGGCGAAGCGTAAGAGTTGCACCAAGGCAAGCTTACTTAGTGTGCCCCACAGCCGTTACCGCGCCCACCAAATGAAGCGACCCACCGAAACATCCTACTCATATGATTTCGCGTGACCAAGACCAAGCACCCAACCAACCGAGTAGTCTTTGACCCTGCGACACTGAACTGCAGGAATTGCGTTCTCCTGGCGTAGGCTGCTCATCCAATCCCTGAATTGGGGACAGTCATCCATCGTAAATTGCATTCCAAGTAAACATTGTCAGTTTCCACTCTGACATACCTTGGCATCACTGCGTCAGTTCCAGAAGGCAGATTTGCGGAGCTCTGACGAGCGGAAATACGTTGGGGAGTATCGGCTTGAGGGCCTATAGAGGTGGGAACTACATTATCAGGTGCATAGTGAACCTCCTGAAGCTCTTGTTGATTCAACCCTCAACACATTTGTCTTCGTGTTGCAGTGTCAGGTGAAATGAAACAAGGCGGAGATGCTCAGCTGCTTGCATCATGGCATCATGGCATCATGGCTCGTGCTTGCCTCAAGCTCATTCTGCCTCTTCACAATCCTCACCTTTTGATTGCAATGGCCCATTTCAATCATCAAGTCCATTGGGCCATTGGGGGGGCTGCTTATGGCTGACTTCCCTGTTCACTCACAGCCAGGCAGCCTTCTCATGGAGTCGCAAGTCTTCATCCCGTCACCCGTTTGGAGTCCAACCTCGTTTTCAGGATCAACCAACGCCTTTGGTCGCGTTACCTTCATAGTCCGGCTCATCGAACTGTTCCTTTGCCCTCATGTTCCGGATTCCTCCTCAGATCATCTCATATCCTCTCCCATGCACCAAAAACAGCCTTCCGGCCGGTCATGTGCCTTCCAGTGTTGCTGAGTGCTTGGACCTCCAGATGCATTCAGCTCGAAGGACACCAAGAGCGCCCTTGCTGCTGTCCTTTATCTTTGCACCTCTCGTGGTCCCCAGATGCATTTGGCAGTGCTCTTGATTGAGTTTTAAAGAGCGCTTTCCTCAAGAAATATCAAGCTTTAAACGCTTTGTGGGGAATTGTATCTGTTTATTTGTTTCGTGCAGTTTTGTTTGCCACAACAATCTCACTATCCACTTCATCAGTTCCATTTGGATCCGCAGCGTTCGTGGAATCCCCTACGTCTGCCCGTTTGCAAAGACTCAACCACTTCACTTCGCACATCTTCGCACTTTGGCACCTTCTTTCATTTGGATTGGTTCACCAGTTGGTTGCATTTGGCTGAAGGTCAAGCCCAGAGCTTCACTTATGCCAACACATGATATGACTGGTGTTTGACAGTGAAACTCACTAGCTTCGACGCAAATTCAACGCAATGCGTAAAGGCCTTGAATGTTGGACTCTGCCCCCCAACCCGCAGCCACAGCGCCACTGTGAGCCCTGTAAGACCCAGATCTTTTGGAATGGAACCCGGGAAGACCACCTCAGCTATATGGCCACTGGTAACTAAACATTACATATTTTTCTTTAACACGGATGTAAGAAGTCGTTCTTTTTCTTTGACATGACATACTGCCAGCGGGGTAAGCTTCTTTCACCGAGGCCTTGAACCCTCAGACCCTCCACAACCTTCTTTAACTTGCTGCAACTATGCCCCGAGTGGACACCCAGCCCCACCACCCAATGCTGTCAGGGATACCTTTGATGCCTCCCATGATGGGTCTGGGCAGCCCAGGCAATAGGTCAAAGCGCTTGCAACGTCTTGCAAATGGGAAGGGGATGAAGCGCATGGCAGCCATGGCATGTGGTTCGATCTCTTCGACCTTTGCCTAGGATCCATCTACATTGTGTGATTAATCTGTCAGTCAACCCATATATGAGAAACATAGTGAGACACCTGTACATGCGCTGGACAGCCATGTTTGACAGAGGAGAAAAGCTGCAAAGCGGCCCAGCTCGTTAGGGAGACCCTAACCGATCGTGCCCAGGTCTGCCTTTGCCAGCACCGCGACGTCCGTGACTGCCGAAAAGAAGGACGTGTGGACAGTGGGGATGATATATATATATATATATCACATGACAAATGCACGGTTTCTTAGAGGAACAGTGGCCTCGAGAGGATCCAACGGGGAATGTCTCTTGGTTGCGACACATTTGGAGAGGTTTCAACTAGGAGAACATTTATAGCAAGTTATGAGTTCCTTACTGATATATCCTTTTTGGAATTAGTTACAGCGGTTACTGTAACTGTACTTTTCAGTGTTCAAAGACCCTTTAAGGCCTTTGAACGTTGCTGAAGGTAGACTTGCTGAGAAGCAAATGTCACAGCTGCCATTCAGAAGCATTTGGCTCTGAGAAGAGGGAGTTTCAATCTGTTCGTTCTGCCACAGCCAGCCTCTCCGCGAGAACCTGCAGGAGCAGCGATTTTTGTGTTCTTTTTTGTCAAAGTTCAAGGAGCTGTCTGGTTTGTAAGCGCTTCCCCATCACACTCTTTTTGCAGGAAGCATGAGCTCTGATGCAGGCAGGACGCATCGACTTCTCCAATCTTTCTACTCAACTGTGGAACACTTCTTTGGCAGAGCGTGAGATAAAGTGTGTTGAATGCAACTTGTCATGTCGGGCTTGAATAAAGGATCGTTGGGTTTCGAAACCCTCACCCAAGCCACTGAACTCCAGAAGTTGCAGGCCATGATCCACAAGCACGAAAGGAGATAGTTGGTCTATGTATCGGATATGGGCTGAAGGCTGCAGGTTGTAGGTGGACAAGCTTCATTTGGCTCCGATTCAGCTGCCGAGGTGCAGAGGTTGATGCCAAAGGCGAGGGGCTAAGAATGGGTTCAGATTTTTGAAATGGTGGTAGCGGTCGCTTAAGTAGAATGTGGAATGGATTTGAAGCTCAGAATTGCAGCTTTAGTATTTTCAGGTCGTATTGAGTGACAAAGGTTCTGACTGTGATCACTCACTCGCCTCACAGACAGAGATAGAAATACTTTCGATCTCACATTGTCCGAGGCCAGTCCGCGCTGCACCGCGCCGCCCTCTCCGGTGAGATGGAGGAGGTGGATCGCATTGTGGCTTCAGGAGCCGATATTGATCCCGCAGACAAGGAAGGCTGGAGCCCCCAGATCTCTGGAGTGAGAAGGATCGCATTTCAAGCGCAAAGTGCTTTCCCCAAACTTTGTGGACGAATGTAGTCGCCTTGGCAGCCAGAAAAGCCGGGCCACCTTGAACAACCTTGGAAACATTTGGACGCTGCGTGAAGTTAAACTTATTTGCAGCTTTGTGGATCCAAAAGTCCCTGCCACAGTGACGGCGGTTTTTCCTTGAAAAGGCGCGAAAGCAACACCCGAGAGTGTTTCAGTTTCATTGTTTGTGGCAGCAAAGCATGGATCGAGCTGATTGAAGCTTACTCCGCACCCTTCTGCACCTCTGAGGCTTCACTCCATTGCATGTGGCATCCGAAGCGGGCCACCTCCACGTGGTCGACCGGCTCGCGGAAGCCAAGGCCGACTTGGAAGCGAAGGGTGGCGCATACCGCAGGGAGCCCCCAGAGGCTCGGAAGGTCGGAAGGTGGATCGTTTTCGGCCTGAAAAGGTCGGTCCAAAAATGGAAGCGACAAAGAGACGCGTGACAGGCCTGAATTGATGGGGCAGTCTGCCCAAAACATCACTTCATCCAAACACATCATCCAAACTTGCATGTTGATTATTGTTTGGCAAGAATAGGATGCTTGTTTGCCACTGTTTGCCATGGTCTTGAGAGCTTGGTGTGGAATGCAGCTCCATATAGCTCCATCCTTACAATACAGCTCCATATAGCTCCATCCAAACATGGAAGCAACAAAGAGACGCGTGACAGGCTTGAAAAAATTACAGTAAATTGATGG